GATACGTATAATTAGCTGGCCATGCGTAAAGCAATCCTCTTGCTAGGGTATGACTCCATAGAAAAAAAAATTATCTCGATTTTCGTTATCACCAAGCAATTCTTCATAGGAATTGGATAGTGGCATCTATAGAACATTTTTGCTGTAAACCAGTGTTATATTTTTCAAAACGTTCGAGATGTGGTTACGAAGACGTAAACTAACTAAAGTTTTTATACATGCTGTCATGCTTGTGATACGAAATAATGGCTTTTTATTTAAAAAAAATATATGTTGCCTTTTAGTCTAACGGCCATATATATATGTATATATACTGACTTGTAGTACTTTTGTCGCTGCCACTATATTATCTACTAATTATATCCTAATTTAAGTGTTGAGTTATGTTTAGTTTATTTGGTATTAAAAGCTGGCTGATGCGCAAATACTTACTTCAATCTCTTGTCTTGTATGTAGGTATGTAAATGGCGTATACTTAAAATTAAACGAAAAATGTATATAAAAGTATTTTACTGCTACCACACATTAAAGGATGAATTATATAACCGCTCTGTTTGCGCACAAATCTACCTAAAATGTGAATAAATAATGTTCTGTCGCATCTTGGGCTGATGCATAGCCCTTCCACCACCCACTAAGTGGTATCACAACGCATTAACTATGGCTTACACTTGTCCGCAATCATTTAAGTACGTAATTTGGTCTGACTTTATTGAATGGCTTTTTTATCTTATTTAGCTAGGAGATTAGCACAGCAATAACGTTGGGGCTAGATGAACATTTACAAGAGAGGTTAAGGATTCTATTATATCTTGTGTTTCCATGTGATATATCTGAGCAATTAGTATGCTTGAGACAAAACCTAAGAAATAGGCTGTGACTTAGAAATGAACAAAGTGACTGTGTGTAACTATTCATATAATTCTTGGCTGACCAAGCTTTTGAAACCACGTTTTCGATGGGCTACAAAAATGTTGGGAGAATTTTAACGAGGTTTAAATCCCCTTGAAATAAGATTCCATCATGAGTGTCGTCATTATAAACGGTATTTCTTCGGTGTGTGATTGAAAACTTCGGATCCTTCGAATTTGCATTGATTTGAAGAGTTTTCATCATTCTAAGTAGTGTAAAAAATGTTCGGTCAACTGGATAAAGGTTTTCTCTTGTCACCCAGATCCCAACCTTAAAAAAGTCCATAAAAAGCTTTCCAAAGTATATTAGTTTTATGGTTATTATGGTTTATGAGGATCGTGAGAGGTGTACAAATTGCAATGACTATATCCAGGATATGCTATTGTTAAGGTGTGTAAAAACTCGTGGGCTCGATTTTTTAAAAATCATTAGAATTTTTGTTTTTATGTGTGCCAAATTTTTTATCAATTTTTTTTGCTGAGTTGAAGCTGCTGCAGCGGGATCAATATAATTGTACATATTTGGCCTTAAATGAGAGGTCTTTATATATGGTTTTTGAACATACGAGTACATATAATTTGTGGGTTAGACTCGATATTTTTTTTTGAATCATCCGAATGGCACTTAAGACAATATTTTAATTCAGTTGAGTTATGGTTTTAGTGAAAAATCCTTGGCAGATATTATGGCGTTGGTACATCCAGCATTTAATAATTAATAATTTTAATGCCATTGGTAATCTGGGATACATGGGTTGTCTGGATTGAATTACTTTAATTGGTCCGCATTAGTTTTTCCAATTTTGGTGCATCCTACCTCCATTTTATATAAAAAATTATTTGGCGCCGTCAGAGAGCAATTTGTGCTCTCGAGAGAAAATAAGTTTTCAGGATCCATGAAACTGAGTATAGCGGCCAAATTTTTATCTCAAAATTTTGGAAATTTATGTTTTTTTTTGGTCTACATTTGTTGAAAATAACATGAAACTGAAATATATACGATAAATTTTAAAATTTTGAAGAAAAAATTTGGCGGCTATACTCAGATTTTTGGATAATGAATTTTTTTTTCAAGAACACGAATTGATCTAATAAAACTGAGTAAGAGGCATTGTTCGTATGGTCAACAGCTATCGAACCTGATATATGAGGGCTCTAAGTTTTTTTGTGTTTCACAGTGTAATAATTAGAAACTCGGCGGAAACGTTTTTCGTAAATATAAATATTTGTTATTTAATATATAAATATGTAAGTAAAATTTATGAATAGCCTAAAGACTAAACTAGTTATGCAAAGTTTTAGGTAATTCAAAAAAGATTTAGAGGTGGCTCCAAGCTCTCAAAGTTTCACATGTATTTTATATGGGGAAAAAACAATTTTTCATAGTAATGGTATAGAATCCTCGAAAATCAATATTTTTCAATCCGCAAACTATGTTTCTCTTAAGGAGACCTCAAAAATGTTACCCAATTAAGTAGACAATTGGATATTTTTCGGGAAGTCTCCTGAAGAGACAAAATCGTTTGCCGATTGAAAAATATTGATTTTCGAGGATTCTATACCATTTCTACGAAAAATAGTTTTTCCCCCATATAAAATACATACGGAACCTTAAGCGCTTTTAGTCGCCTCTAAATCTTTTTTAGATTGACCTGAACTTTTCATAGTTTAGTCTTTAGGCCATTCACAAATTTCTCTTGGAAATGAGGGCCATCCTAATGTACATATATCTCTTGTAGTTTTACTCCAGCGCTGACTTTAATCAGCCAAATGGCTTGTCATTCCTAGCTCCTATTAAGAACTGTAACTAAGTATGCTGCTTAGATGCTCGGATGGGTGGGGAGGAATGACAGCTACTTAATTCTACTCATTCAATTGCCCTAAGAGAAGGACTACAATTAATTTATATTCACTTTTATCTTGTCATAGGTTCGACGTTAAATGCCATCGAAAGCACAGCAGCGACGACGACAACGACAATGGCGGCGAGCATTCCAATGCCAACGGCGTCAGCAACAGAAGTGGCAGCAGCCGCAAAATCATTTTCAACAGAAAATAGAACTAACACTTTGAGGTGGAGTACAACGAGTCAAGAATTTTTCTCGATAGCGAATTCGCTTAAAGCGGGTACAGTTCTTCGGGCTCATTCCATTAGTTCATCCACAGGGGGTGGGCTGGAGGCCGAGGTTAAGGCAAAGTCATCAATAACAGCGTCAACAAAGGACGTAGGGCTGAAGGACGGAGCCGTTACTCAAAGTAGTGGGAAAAACGCTGTCGGAGAGGCAGAAGTGGCGATAGCCATTGCCGATTACAACTTTGCTACAGAAATTTCTACTACGCAAATTACAAAAACACTTGAAAAGGCGTCACAATCTGAATTGAAAGAAGCCACAGTGACATCAGCAACAGCAGGTAAAGCATTCAGCGGAAGTTCAACGCAGTCAACAAGAAAAGTTGATGTGACAACAAAGCGAACAAAGGTATCATTAAGTCGCTTAGTAACTGTTGATAAGGAGAATGGCCAGCAAGCCGCTGGTGAGAGAGGTGAGAGAGGTGAAAGACGTGAAAATGGCGGAAGCCCAGGTGACCCAATGGTTGCCGAGTCAACAACTGCTGTGACACCCGTTGCTGTAGTGACCACAAGAATAGCACCAATTTCAAAAACTGAGGCGAACTTGGCTTCAACGATAAGCAGAGCGACAACAATAGAATCGCTGTCGGCAGCAGCCGCTTCGCAACTGGTTGCAACATTGTTTCCGATAAGAACGATAAGCGACGAAAGTTCAAAACAGCAGAAATATCAAAACGCCTCAGGCAGTGTGCGTGCCTACAGTCAGGTGGACATACATAACAGCAAACACAATTACAATTACGACTACAACAAAATGCTGATTGAAGCCCGAGGTGGCAAGGACAATAACAACCCTGACGTCAGTGCCGGCACTAAACACATTAGTAGTGAAAATACACAACGATGGCCAATGCAGCAGCCACAAACCCACCCTCTACAGCGTCCAAAGATACAGAAAGGCGACAACCACACCGACACCGACAGCGACACCGGCAGCGATAGCGATAGCGATAGCAGTAATAACAGCAATAATTTCCTATACAACAGCAATAACAATTACTTTAGTAGTCACCAAAATGCTGCCAGCAATATACTCATGATGCAGCAACAACAACCACTGCGGCAGCTACGTCAACAATACGCTCGTCAAGTGCAACAACAGCCACCCTTTTCAGCAATAATATTAACACCGGCAACGTCGTCAACGACATCAGCCATCGCCGCAGCAAATGATAGCAATTTGATTAGCAACGTCATTCATTATAAACAAACGCCGGCGAATACGAACAAATCAACGCTGATGAAAAATAGAAAAAGTACCCAGCCGATGGAGCTCCCCTCTACGCTCAGTGTTAACAGCGTTTCATTGACAACAGTGACGTCAAAGTCTGGATCGAACGCGTTGGCTGGAGCAGCATCTGGGGCATTAGGCGAGCGCGAGCCTATGAACGGCACTACAACCGCTTCTCCATTTCCTACAGTGACAACCAATATAGTGAAATCGACTACCAGACGCCCGCCACCAACCACCACACCAAGGCCAACGCCATCCATAGACGACTACCAGACAGTGATCAGCCAGGCGGGCACACATGCCTATCTCCCGTGCAATGTAAGTTTAAAGTGTTTAAAAGTATTTCCAGATGAAAGTATACTGGGAAGCATCATGATACAAAGAAGAGTTTGATATAAACAAAGTTATGATTAAAAAATGGTTTTTGACGGGTTTTCAATGGGCACATTCAGAAGGCGCAACAGCTCAGTAACTGTTGCGATTGCACCTTCTGAACGCGTTGTTTTGTACTTCTGATCAACTGAACAGTTGCGTATTAGATGATCGTAATATTTTTCTGATCATATGGCCACAGTTAGTCGCGGTGTTGGAGTGTCGTCGCCAAAATAATTATCTACATAATATAACGTCTTAAAACGTCGTTTCGAATGTGTTACTAGCTTTACATAATTTAAATGTTTTGAATATGTATCTTGTTACATAAAGTAATTATATAGTATATACATATTTTTAAAACGAACTAGTAGTTTCCCTTAAAATTCCTATCTTTTTTATTAAATTCGCTAACCATTCCTAAAAACTGAAGTTTTTTATTAAAAAAGTTGTCTTTTCCCTATTTATATTTTCGCCACTGCACTTTATTATTCGCTAAAATTGAATGGGCTTAAAAACTGCATACTCAAAATGTTTCTAAGAAATCTGATTAAAAAGCTCAACATTTTGATAAAACTTTGTCGAATTTTCTTAATTTTTGTACAAAGTTTGAAATATTGACTTACATGGTTTTTGTTACATAAGGGAAAGGCCAAAAAATGCCAAAATGTCTCTTCTCTATTTATACTTACGCCACTGTATTTAAAAAACTTTCATGCCATCTGCCCGATTTTGTGATAGGAGTCCATAGAAACCAGAGCTGTTGCAGTTTCCTCGGACATGTTTGTTTTTAACCGACTTCCAAAAAAGGAGGAGGTTATCAGTTCGTCGGAGTTTTTTTTATTTTTATTTTTTTTTATGTTTGCACCACGTCAACCGATTTCAATAATTCTGCAACGGAAAGGTAGTGTCTCAGAGGTGGTCCCATACTAATTTGGTTTAGATCCGATCATTGGATCATGAAATATATAGATATATATATATTTTTTTAAGTCGGTTTTTTTTTGCTAAAAATTACTTGTTGACATATGTAATTCAGATACTGAAATTACACATTTTGACGCGTAATTAAATACACATTAGATCTGTTCATACACACACATGTCGTTGGAGAAACTTGAAGTGGAACTTACTTTGGGACGCATGGACCTCATGACTCCGAAGTAAATACTCCCTAGTTTTGGTATATTTTTACAATTGGACAGGGTCTGGAAAAAATTAATGATTTGTTGTTAGGATTCAAGCTAGAATGGAAGTTATTAACTTAAATTAGTATAAAAGTATAATAATAATTTCGATTCTATGTAAGTACAAGATTTTAAATGAAATAAAAATGAATAATAAAATTTCAAGTATTTTGGCCATTTTTTATGGTAGCAATCTGCAATTTTCACAAAAATTTAATAATTAAATAATGAAGTCGCTGAGCATCGAGTATGCCGTTTAGTAATAAATAATTTTTTCCAGTGTATTCGTAAAATGATCCTTTAGTGGAAATGTCGTAACCTTCTGAAAAGTAATTCAAAAGGATCAAGTTACTAATGCGAAAGTGTAACTCGCCACTGAAAGTACGTATTGCGGGTACCGTTTACCCAAGTACACATGTACATATGTATATATATATATATATA